AGGCAGAGTCAACCCAACCTCCGAGGAGTGGCTGAATATGAATGTGTGAGAGTGTGTATGTGTATGTTTGAGTCAAACCTGTAGCCCCAGAGGGGCAAAGAACGGGAGGGAGAAGCACCCCTCGGCCTTGCCAGCTCTCTCCAGAGTGACCTCCTGCACGGTCTCTACCACTTCCATCACCACGTACAGGTTCTCGCCGCGTTCCCGCATCTCCTTCAGGAACGGATGCTCTTCTGCCAGCTTCCTGTGGCGGGAAAAACATAGGGAACCCTTCAGAGCTTGTCCCTGCACGGGGCCGTGAAATTGTTTCCTTTTGTTCCTAGGAGCTGGGCTTTGTGGTGTCAGGAAAAGAGTGAAACTCTGGCTTAAGACTGGTTGGATACCCAGATCCCCCTGCCTAGTAGCAGGGCAGCTTCTCTAAATTGTCAGTTGCCTCAGCTATAAAATGAGGATAATGACACTTGCCTCCAGGGTTGTTGAGATATAAAACGTGTGATCATCCGGCCAGCACCTCACCTGGAGCAAGACCTGGTGCTTTTTCTTTGACCTCAGAATAGTTTTATCCTCCTTCCCACCGGTTCTTAGCCCTGTTCACTTCTTTTAGAACCCTTTCTCTCTCTTATCATCTCTCCTGTTCCTAATATTAGTTCCTCTACTCTGTTGCTTCAACTAATTTGTTTATAAATATAAACACGTTCCTGATCCTGAAAAATACACTTTCTTTGATCTTGTTACTCCATTAAATAACCTTTCTGTTTCTTTCCTTGGTTTCATTGGCAATTTCTCAAGAGATACACCAAGATTCACTATACTCATATTTCCTCACTGGTCACTCCAGAATTCTTTATCATCTGACTTCTTTCCACTCAACTGATACCATAATGACCCACCAAAGTCAAAGACCTCTGTGACTCTTGTCTGATGACGTTGGGCCCCGCTGTCCCCACTTGCCATGTGGCTCTGTCTTCTTTTCGCTTCTGATTACCCTGTATCATCCTGGTTACACCCCTAACTTTCTGGCTTCTAAATCCTATTGACTCTGCCTCTATCTCATTTTTCACTTCACTCAAGTTTTCTATTTTTTTCATTCTTCTGCTCTCTGAACTCCCTCTGCTCTCTGCTCCACTTTCCTATAGTTTTAATCTTTATACTGCTGAACTTCACTTCTCCCCTGAGCCTTTTTTTCTAGCTACCTGTTGAAATTCTCAGCTGATGTCTCAGTTGCAGCACAAACAGAAAATAATCCAAAGAGAACAACTCTGGGTCTTGATCCCCAAATATACTCGAGTCTCTGTCTTCCTATTTGTACTGGTGATACTACTGGGGTAAAATCTGAGTTCTCTGTCACTAAACCCTCCCCCGCCTCCTGCAGTCAGCTGCCGAGGCCAGTCCCTTTGGTCTTTGCAGAGGTCTTGCACCCACTTGCTCCTCTTCAGTCCCACTGTGTTCCCCTAGCTTAGGTTTCATGACACCTCTCTTGGATGTTAGGGAATCATCTGGTCTATTTCAAACCTACTCTTTGCCCACTGTACATCTTTCTGCCATACATTAATCGTGCCACCTACCAGAGCATCGTCGGGGTCTCCCTCAGACCTGCTGAGTAGCTCAGTGCCTTTGGCCTGGTGCCTGGCACTCCATGATCTGAACCAAACGTACATCTTCTCCTTGTTCCACACTTATCTCTACACCTGCCAAACTGGCCATTCCCAGTCCCTTACAGTTTGCCAAGGAGCCCTTGGGAACACAGTGGCTAAGAGCTCTGTTGGTAGCCAGCATCAATGGCTTGTACCCACTTGTTGTTCCAGGGAAAAAGGTAGGACAGTCTGTTTCTGCAAAGATTTACATTCTTGGAAATCCCATGGAGCATTGTACTCTGTCCTGTAGGGTCACTGAGTAAAAATTGCATCAATGACAGTGGGTATAGTTTTCAGGATTTCCATCTACATACCTTGGAAACCCTTCTGCTATCCTACTTGCTACTTATCCTTCAAGGTCTGGATCATAGGCCTTGGGCCTCTTCCTTTGTGAAGCCCCTCCACCCCCAGATGTACCTTTGATCCACCACAGAGCTCTGCTGAACCTCTCCTATGGCACTACCTACTTCTTGCCTTGGATTATTGCTGCTGATTTCCAGTGGTTTTCACCCACCATGTTCATAGCTTTCAGGGTTCTTGGGCAAGGCAATTTAGGCATGCTTCAGCACCCAGAAGGGTGTTTTGTAGTCAATGAGAGATAAAACTATTTACTGGATGAATTACATGTGCCCAGCCTTTCTTACCAGTTCTGCAGTTCTCATCTTCAGCCACAACTTAACTACTTAAAAGTCAGTTCTGGCATCTGAGGGGCCTAGCATGAAAAACACCTGCAGTGTCCCTTGTATAGGCAGCCTTGGGAAACTGCTGCCTGTCGTGTGTGCGGCCGGGCAGGAGGCTTCCTTTGGGGAGCAGAACAGTGGGGAGAGTTAAGGTCTCTACCCTTTCTAGCTTCTTTTATAGAGTTTTAGGAGTTGCAAGGAAGCTCAGAGATTATCATCCAACTCTGTAATTTTGCAGGAGAGCAAACTCAGATCCTGAGAGGTGTGGAGTGACTTTTCCAAGGTCCGACAGCAAGTTCATAGGAATAGCAGTTGGGTGAGCAAAATAGAGTGAGTGAGAGGGTGGTATTAAAGGTAGATGAGGGATAGAGAAGAGTGGTTAAGGAGTGGACTTCTGTCATCTTCCAAGAGCTCCCCTGCAGTGGTCACATGGGTGAAGTTCAAGGTGACAGCCCTCTGGCACCCTTGCTCTGCCCCACCCGTCCCCTCTTGGAACCTCCTGGCCCTGCCCACTCTCACCTTTCTTCTTGTAAGCTCTCCAGGGCCTTGGGGGCCACACTGAGCGTCTGGACTTCCAGGGTGCTGCTCCGGGAAAGCCCTGCCGTCCCTGTCACCTTCACCGTCTTTGGCATATCCACCTTTCCCTCCACTCGGGCATCCAGCATATTCTTAAAGCCAAAGCTCCCACTGTCTATCGGCTCTGCAGGGAAGAGAAAACAAAAGGGGCTGGTGTGAGGGCTGTCCTCGCCAGCTGCCACCACCTTGGCTTTGTAATGAGAATTCGGGGCTGGGTGACACCTAGCTTCATCTGGGTAGAGAAGAACTGGGTGCTCGGCCCCCATCTCTCATTGCCCAGTCCCACATGAGGCTGACCTGCAGGTGAGCTGCCAGGCTCAAGCACGTCCAGGAGCGTGTAATCAGTCTGGACATAGCGAGCACCCCAGAAGAGCGTGCTTTTCCTCTTCCTCAGCACCAGGCAGAAGGGATGGAAGCGCTTGAAGTCGATGAGGCTGTCAAGGGGAACCAGGTCCCCTCGAGGGTTTAGCTGTCTGGCCAGGGTCCGGGTGACATTTTCAAACATCGTCATGGTCTCTGCAGGTGGAAATGGGAGAGGGTCACGCTGTGGACGCCCTGGCAGAGAGAGGCTCAGGGCAGGAGGAGGGGACCTTGTAAAGATGGCTGGATTCACAGCATATCAGAGCTGAAAGGGACCGAAGCAGTTCTCATCTGATGCTCAGGCAGCGAGGGCTTGAGAGGTGAAACAGCCTCCTGAAGCCCCACAGTTGACCAGAGAGGACAGGTGTTCTCTTTCCTTGTTAAAAACGCTTTTCTCTACACTCATTTTCTTCACAGATACAAGCCCAGTTTGAGGGGTTTGAGGGGTTTGTTAGCAATTAAAGTAAAGCTGTTTCTCACACAACTGGGCCAACCTTGTCTTTCCCAGAGAACAGAGCTGGGGACTCCGGGCAAGGCGAGCAGCTCCTCCCTGTGCAGAAGACCTGGGGAGGGGAGATGCCAGTCTCCTGCCCTGGTAGCCCTCTCCTTGGGTGGGGTGCATAGCAGGGGCCTGCACCCTGGACTTCTCTTTGGCTCCTCCTGGCTCACAGGTGTACCCACCTCCCTCCAGAGGCTGCCCTGTAGACCCAGGCCCTCCACGTACCCTGCCTTGGCACACCCACCCCTCTGGAATACTCCTCCCAATCTGAACAATGCTTGTTTTAATACTTAATTCAAGGTTGCCTCCCTATGATCCCTGATGAGCCTGTAATGTTGTTATGATCTTGTCACCTGACTCTCTGGCCTACTCAGCGGCGACCTCCCAGAATGCACGAAATGCATCTTAGTCACCTTTACAGCATCAGCACCCAGAACAGTGCCTGGCACCGAGTTGGAGCTTGGCAAATGCACATGGAAAGAATGAATGAACAGATGAATGAACGTGGTCCTGGAAACCGTGCTGGAGTGACCGCACGCAAGAGCAGGCAAGAAGCAATGAACTGACCATCGTGGGTCTGTGCCTTTGAGGTTTCAGTCCAAGTCCTTTGACTGAGTGGCCAACCATTATGACTAGACTGTCTCCATGGGTAGAAGAGGATGTGCTAGCTACCTGGGGAGCTGCCCCATCTCCCCTCTAGTGCCCCATAAGGGCAGGGAAGCAGAAGGCATGTTTATAGTAACCTGAGCCCTTCTGCCAAATCCATGAACTCCAGTGAGCCCTGTTTGCCTCTCATTCCTGGGAAGGCCAGGATGGGGTGGACAGCCTCCTGGGACCAGCAAGGCTGCACCTGAGAAGACCTTGGATGACCACAGTCTTCTCACAGAAGAGATGCTCATGGTGATGCCTCGCCTTCCTTTTCTCCAAGGACTATCAGGGTATCATCCCCAATGTTCTTTTGGGGAGTCTAATCCCTTCTTGTCCCACCCATGTCCAGTACCTTAGAACACCACCTGTCTCCTCTGCTGTCACCAGATTCTTACCTGGTGCTGTGTTGTTGGGTCCTGTCTGGCAGCTGGGTCTGGGATTCACGGGCCCAGGCAGACAGGTAAGAGCTCAGGGCTTGCTCAGTTTGAAGGTTGACAGAGTGTCTGTCCTTCTTCAGGACAGTCTACTTTATACCTCAATGAAAGCAGGGATGGAGCTTCCTGGGACCCCACCCTCTCCTGCTTCACTTCCGGGAGAACAGCATCAACCTGTTCCACCCGTGCCCTGCCCTGGGCCCCAGGTCCTGGCCTGCTGCAGGCTGAGGGGGTGGGCGGGGAGCTGCCCAGCAGGTGCCAGCGTGGGCTGGGGGAGACGGAGGTGAGAGAGCTGTGGCACTGAAGTTCGGCATGATGGCTGAAGGAGGGAAAGACACGTTTCGGAAGGGGAGCAGAGTGGTAAGGGGAAGGGAGAGGGGGGGTGTGTGTGAGAGAGAGAGATGTGAGAGATGTATGAGAGAGAGATAAGAGGGAAGGCATCTCTGTTATCATGGTCATCAGGAAAAACGCAGGCTGCAAGACGATGTTTTGTGGGTGTGATGAAAGATTAAGGAAGCTGGTGCCTCCATAGGTCCCCTTAGAGAGCATCTGGAAACTCGTCTTCCATTTCTGCCTTTTAATCTGAGAATTACTACCTCACCTACATGACCATACCTGTGACGCATTTACCCAGGCAGAGATAGAGCTACATCAAAGGTTTTCTGTTGAATAAACAGATGCATGAATGTGGCCCTGGAGATACAGGCTGGGATGACAGCACCCTGGAGAAGCCTTGATTGGCCAGGAAGAGCCAAAGCTTGGCATCTTGGATCTCTACCTTGAGCGTTCAGTCCAACTCCTCTGGATGTATGGTCAGCCAGCACAGGTAGACCAGCCCCATGGGTAGATGGGGACACCCGAGCTGCCCAGGGATCAGCCCACCTCCCCTGATGTATCCTGTTTAGTCCTCAATGCCTCTCCTCATGGAATCTGGTATGTGCACATACACATAGACTGAGAGGCAGACCTAGAACCAGTTGTTATCAGACTGACTCCAGCTCACGTGTGTCAGAGTAGCACTGCACTCCACAGGGTTTTTAGTGTCTGGTTTTTTAAATGAAAAAAAAAAAATAGATGTTCAGGTGCCTTCTTCCAAGACACTTCTGGATGATTCAAACTTCCAACCTTTGGGTAGCAGCTGATCATGTTTACCCTCTGTACCACTTATGTACCTTAGACATCATGAAGGAAGCCCCAAAACAAACAACAGTTCAGGAGGCATATCTGCATTTGGAACTCAGATGTCTCACCACTGGTCACTCAGATCTTGCTCCCATCTTTGGTCAATGCCTAAAGGACTTTAAAAGGGGACACTTTAGATCGTCTAGACCAGATTTCTTGATGACAAAATAAGTCATTTACAAGTTAAGCTCTTGACATACAGTCATCTGTGGGGATATATGGGCAATGACCTGAATATAACTGAACCTTCCTGCTCTCACCTGAGGCTAAGCGCCATGATTCATCCAAACGAAATGCAAACTGACCCCAAAAGTCAGGAAAGGCCAGTCTTTCTTGGAGATTTTTTTTTATATTCAGCAAAACTCCCTAGAAACTTCATTACCCAGTTCTGTCCCCAAAATTCCATACCTTATGACAAGTGCTCCTAAATCTCTTCTCTGACTTAATGAAATAAAAGCCTTCCTGTGCTTCATCTCTATTTTTCTTTACCTCCTTTTTCATCTGTCTGATGCCCTTCTTGTGTGACAACCTACTATTTCTTCCGTTTTCACTTTGAAAGCTCTTAATCATTGCTTTAGCCAAACAGCCCTCCCTCCTTTGAAGTGGCTGAAATGGGGGCCAAAGTGTATGGGAATTTGTCAGTGTCATTTGGTCCTGGTTACTTGTATACACATATATAGAAATGTGCTATATATGTGGTATTCTTTTCACCTCTCTCTTTTCTGGAATTCTTTCACTTCTGTGAAATCTCTTAATTAAAAATCCATTGCCAACTAGTCAATCCTGACTTATTACAACCCTGGTGGCTCAATAGTTAAGCACCCAGTTGCTAGTCAGAAGGTTGATGGTTCAAGTCCACTCAATGGCTTCATGGCAGAAAAGACTTGGCATTCTAGTTCTTTAAAGATTATAACTTATGAAACCCTGTGGAGAAATTTTCTCTGTCACATGGGGTCAATATGAGTCAGAATAGACTTGATGGTGCATAACAACAACAACAACAACAACGAATTAACACCTGGATGTAACATAACTGCAGTGCAGCTTACAGTCCTGGGGCTGGGCACTGCCCCATCCCTTAGTGAGATCAGGCCAGGCCTGCCCACTGCCCTGCCCCCAGCTCATCATTTCCTCTCTCAGGTGTCTGGGAGTGTCTTTCTAGTGTCTACCCTCTTCCCACTGGCTGCAGACCAACGTTTCTGGTCCAGCACATTTTCCAAAAGTCTCGAGAACACTGGTTTTGAGAAGCCAGATATTTATCTCCTATCCATCTCCAGAGTCCATCCTGTTGGCTTCCTCTCCTCTGACCCTGAAGTCTTGCACCTTCATTTATCTTAGCCTCTATTCACTTTAAACTCAGAGTACACCCCTGGGTCCGGCCCCTCTCTGTCTTTGCCCTCTTACCTCACTTCTACTCCACCTGGCACTATTCCCCCACAGTGCTTAATGACCTTCTGAATATGGAGCTTTGAGAGTTCAAAGCAGAGTAAGAAGGTCTGTGGAGTCAACCAGAATGAAAGTCTTGCCTTACTGTTTGTGATTCTGAGATGGAAATTGGCTTGTCCTGTGCTGCTCATTTCTTCTGAAATCCAGAATGACCTGGCTTGATCTACTGACTTCTAGTACACTTAGGGGTGGACAGGCCCTAGAATCTGTAAGATCCAGAGACACCTTCTCCTCACTGTCTTAGTTTATACTCAAGGGAATATGAGATAGAATTTAATTTATTCTGGAAGACATTTACATTAGATTAACATGTAAAAATTCTTTAGGCAAATTCATATTGAAAGCAGCTACACAACAGCAAAGACCTCCTGGTGTATGGTCCTGATGCAGGGGAAGAGGAAGCGCTTTCAAGCAGGCGGTAGGGTTTGCTCTTTGTCGCTCTCTGGTGGTCATTTAGGGTTAGAGCATGGAGAATAATCGCTTTTCCACATCAGACCATAGTGATTTTAAGAAATCCCAGTTGATAGATTGAGCAGTTCATTCCTTTTGGACTATGAAGTGCAATCTTTTAATCCTTTGCTATACATTTTCATAATTTTTAAATAATTACTGAAGAGATGAGAATCTTTTTAATAGAATTTCTAAAGTCCTCTAGTGTTAACTCCATGCCCCAAACCTATTCTTGATAGGATTTTTTAATTCAGGCAGGATAGACTCAAAGTCATATTTTGATTCTGTTGGATTTGTTTTAATTTTCTTCAGCTTTGGTTTGAGCTTGCATATGAGTCTGTTCCACAGTCAGCTCCTGACCTGGCTTTGACTGCTGATATTGAACTTCTCCAACAATTCTTTCCAGATGTTGTCAATCTGATCTTCAGGCGAGGTCCCTATGTATAGTTGCTGCTTATGTTTTTTTAAAGAAGTTATTTGCAGTGAATAAGTTATTGATTGTACAAAATCCAGTCATTAGAGTTCTAGCCTCATTTCTGTCACTAAGTCTGTAATTTCCAATTACCAGTCTCTCTTCTTTATTTCCAACTTTTGCATTCCAGTCACCAGTTATTATTAATGAATCTTGATTCTATGTTTGGTCACCTTCCAACTGCAAAAGTTGATAGAAATTCTCAGTTTCTTCATCTTTGGTTTTAGTTGTTGGTACATAAATCTGAATAATAGTTGTATTAACAGGTCTGCCTTGTATGCATATGGTTGGTATCCTGTCCCTTACAGCATAATACTTGAAGATGGATTTGAAATGGTCTTCGAAATACAATTTCAATGCTTCAATTTAATTTTACTTCCTCAATTTGTCATTCCTAGTGTAATAAATTACATGATTGTCTGATTCAAAGTGGCCAATGTCAGTCCATCTCAAGTCACTAATGCTTACAATGTGAATCTTTATGCATTGCATTTAATTTTTTACAACCTTCAATTTTCCAATAATCATACTTTGTACATTCCACAAACACATGACAAATTATGTCTGCCACTGAGAAGAAAGGGAATCCCAGAACACTTACTTGTGCTCATGCAAAATCTATACCTAAAAAAAAAATTTTAAAAAATCTATCACTACACCAGGAAACTGTTGCATGAACACAGCAAGGGAACACTGCATGCATGATTTAAAATCAGGAAAGGCATGCATCAGGGCTGTATCCTTTCTCCATACCTGTTGAAGGAATCAGTATGTAGAACATATCTTTTTTTTTAATTGCCTTGAACATATCTTTTGAGTCACATCTAACAACAACTACAATAGTACTGACAGGGAGCTCTGGTGTCTTAGAAGTAAGGAATTGTGCTGCCAGTCCAAAAGTATGCAGTTCTAATTCACCAGCTGCTCCATTGGAGAAAGACAGGCAGTCTTCTCCCAAGCAATTTAAGCCTCGGAAAAACCCACTGAAGGGTCAGCTATGAGTCAGTTCTGACTTGAATACTTGGTACATAACAACAACTGCAGATCAAGCTTGTAAATTGTGTGTGGTTCAGAGGAGATGAAAGTGGGAGTGGGGAAGAAGAGGTGGACAGGATGGGAAAGAAAGTTCCTTCCTTTCCCTGGTAAGGGGAGGAAGCCCCAGCCTCTGCAAATCTTAATGTGTCTCTGACCCCATAATACACTGAAGATGCTGTAGATAGACAAATAGATTGGCACGAGCAATTTTTTTTTACCAATTTTCCTTTTTATTATTATTTAATTTTACTACTTCCCAGGGTGTTTTTCCACCTTGGGGAAAGTGGGAGAGGCAAGTTACATAATTCAGAAGAGCACTGACCCTGGCATGAACAGACAGAAGCTGATAGAAGGATACCCTGGGAGTTACGAAAGCACAGTAAGGGTTCAGAAAGTAGGGGCATGAGTCCAAAGTCACTAAGATGTGGGATGGCTAGGGCATTTGGACAGGGGAGTGATCCTTTACACAGACACACTTTCTTTGGGTAAAAGGAGATGGAATGGTTAGGGATGGATATAGGTGGGCAGAGGGGCAAGAACATTCCCTAAGATTTTGTTTTAAGTCTCACTAGGGAGGTTGGAGATTTCAGGATACAGAGTGCAGATTGTGTGCTATACACCCATAAATTCTTTTCATATCCTAGAAAATTTTGAGGTTTCTCTCCAAATTTCCAAATCAGTTTTGGGACCCAAGACATCCCCAAACTCCTGGTTGAGCAGACGCTGATGTTCTGCTCGGATGGCATCAAACTCGGTATCAAACTTCAACATGTCAGCCCTTATTGCCCCTAGCCCTGCACTGCTCATACCCCTGCCGATCAGGCCAGTGTGAGCAAAACTACTGCCAGCCCCCAATCTAACTCCAGAGAAGCTGCCTCTGTCAGCTGAGGCTGATGCCTGCAGGCCCGATCCTTGCTGAACCCCAGCTTTTCCTGAATCCCTGCTGATGTGGCTGGAGTGGGCACTGGAGCTCCCTGCCACTTCCTGGCTGGTGTAGGAAAGTCTCTCCTTGCCTTCCCTATGGAACAGCCCTTCTAGATCCTTGTTAAAGATACTGGGCTCCATGTGAAGCCTTTGAAGCTCCATCTCCAAGGGAAGCTTGGAGTGGAAGCTCCTGTCCCCGGGGTCCATCCCTAACCCCCACTCTGCTTTCCCTAGTCCAGGTCTAGTCAGGCTTGGGAATCCTTGGTGAACAAGGTGTCTGGACAGCCAGGTGTTGTCAGCCAGCACCCGAAAGATGGAGAGGGCAGCATAGAGAGCACAGAGTGGCCGCAGGGCATTGGGTTCCCAGGTGTAGAGGGGTCCATCCCCTTGTATGTCAAGGTTGCAGAGTCCCACTAGAGCCTGGGTCACCTTCAGCTCCTCACCCTTGAAGCCCCCTAGCAGCTCGCAGTGAAGACGAAAGGGCCCCACCTCCTCGCGGAGAAAGTTCTGGTCCAGGATGGTCTCCATCTGCACATTAGAACATAAACAGCACAGGAGGCTTTGCATCTGGGGAACCACCGACTTGAAAGGTGGCGTGCATGCAGTAAAAGGTAAATCTCTCAGCGCATTTCCTTCTTGGAACCAACCCCCTCTGAGTATTGATGCAGAAATAGAGACCTAGGGTCTCTTGAAAGCTCTACCAGGAGCTTGCTGTGTGGCCTGGTGGAGTCCCTCAACAATTCAGGCCTCAAAGCAGTAGGCAGGAAATGAGGGGCAGAGCTAATTGGGCTCCAGAATTCCTTCTAATGCTCACATGCATAACTAAGCCCAGCTTGCACCTTCTTCCACCTCCAGTCCTCACCAGCTTCATCTGTCGAGGCAGGATCTCTTTCTCCACAGACATGGCTAGCAGCTGCTGTTGCTCCTCGCTCATTTCTGCAGAGGGTCGAGGAGAAGGCAAGATATAGAGACATATGCCCTTTCTCCCTTGGCCAGGTCCAGGACCAAGGGAGTCTGGGAGTGAAGGCTGATAAGAGAGAGCAGATTTATACTTTCTTCCCTGGGAGAAGATGAGGGAGGTGTATTGTTGGATGGGGGAGGTGGACTTGCAAGGTGATCCCAACAGTTAAATGCTTGACTGCTAACCAAGCACTCAGTGGCTTGAACCTATCCGGAACTCAGTGAGAGAAAAGACCTGGCTGTCTGCATCTCTAAGGATTGTTGCTGCTAGGGAGCTCTGGTGGTGGAGTCCAGAGGGGGTTGCACCGTTAACCTAAAAGAGCTGTTGCCATTGTAGGTGCTGTTGAATTGGTGTCCAGCTCACAGAGAAGCCTTGTACAGCTGAATCAAACACTGCCAGCCCTGTGATCATTGCTGTGCCTGACCCCATCATTGCCCCTGTCAAGATTACAGCCTGGAAGCCCTATACAGTAGTTCTGCTCTGCCCCAGAGGGTCACTGTGAGTTGGAATCGACTCAGTGGCACAGATACGCTTGCACTTTTCCTTGGAGGAGGAGACAGCAGAGTTGGGCTCTGCTTTACTGCCTGTAACTTAGTACCAGGCTTGGTACCATGGGTGTGCAAACTATGCAGCGCTTCTAGTGCTCTGTTGTCGCCGTCTTGAATGATAGTTATTACATTTCCCAGTTCTGCTTGGTACTGTGGAGCCTAACCTAGTAGACCTGTAACATCAGGGACTGTTTCCCCTCACTCCCGCACCTCACCTTGCAGAGCACCCAGCAGATAGAGGATATTCCCAGCCAGCATGGGGTTGAGTTTGCCAGAAGTCTCCTGCAGCCACTTGAGGACTGCGTCTCCAGGTCCCCCTAGGATTCCTGGAGTCACTGGTTGATCAAGATCCAAGGCCCCATCCACCTAGGAGAGAGTTCAGAAGGCGTCAGCTAGATTCTCTGACAGTTAGGACCAGGAGCTCCCTGAGGAAGGGGCAACAGGGGTTTAGTCTCTCAGTTTTAAAAGAGCTAATCTTGGGTGGATACCTCAGTTGGAGTTTCAGGGGTGAGAGAAAGAGAAGACCCATCGAGATGGATTGACACAGTGACTGCAGCGATAGACTCAAGTGTATCATAGATTGTGAGGATGGCATAGAATAGTACAGGGTTCAGGTCTGTTGTGCATAGGGTAGCTCTGAGTCATTCTCAACACATTGGTATCTAACACCAGTTTAATTTTAAGGAAGCTCTGGTGGCCTAGTGGTAGAGTTGCACTCCTAAAGCAAAGGCACATGATTGGAACCCATCATTTGCTCCCCTGGAGAAAGATGGGCAATCTCTGAAAACCTGCTGGAGGGTCCTACTTGACAGTACACAACAATGAGAAATTTTACTCTTAACTTTTTACCCCAGCAGCTCCCAGCCCTGGTTGCATACACATCTCCAGCCAAGCCAATCCCCACCCCAACCATCTCAAGGCCCCGCCCACACCAGGCTGCACTCTCGTCACCACCCAGCTCCACCCACGACGTGCCCAGCGGACGTGTCTAGCCCTCTCCACGTTCGACCCCGCCCCTTCCCCGCCCCATCCCCGCAGTCACCCGTTGAGTCCTGGCCTCAGACTCCGCCTTCGCCCCGCCACGTCAGCTGTAGCCCCGCCCCAGAGTCCCGGGCCCGCCCTCACTGCTTTTTCCAGCTTCTGCAACTCCTTCGCCTGGCCCAGCAGCGCCAGCAGTTCTGCAAGCAGGGCACTCCGCCGAAGCGAGGTCAGGTTCTCCAGCGCCTGTAGCTCGTCTTCCACCTCGGCCTGCAGCGCCCGAAACCCCGTGTGCTCCCGCGTAGCGGGCTCAGGCCTGTAAAGTGCTTTGGGTACGGCATAATGGTGACCGGGATCCTTGCTCATTCATACTCGCCATGATTTCACCTAGCAGGTCCTCCAACCCCTTATCAGAGTCCCTCTTCTAGGACTTAGCATGAAAAATGATACCACCAGGGTTAGGTGCAGGGTGACAGAGGAAGAAGGGAATAGAAGAGAAACAAGAGGGACCTTGTAGGAGCTCAAGTCCTTACTTCGAGGAGTCATCTCGTTATCTGCAGAGAGGAGAGACAGAGTCACCCATGCCTCCCAGAAGAGCATGGTGGAGGCTGTGGGCAAGGGGAAGATGTGCACCTAGAACTCTGAAAGACCCCTCTGCAACGCTCGCACTGTCACCCCTAAACTCTGACTTGAGTTCCAGGATTGACTAGGGTTTTTTGTTTGGTTTTTTTCCTCCTCTTTACTGGGGAAGGAGGTCTTTGTAGCTCCCTATGGTTTTGTCCACCCTCTCCAGCCCCCATCACATTGTGAAGTAGGGACGAGAAGAGTCCCTTAGTTTCTTTTACCTTTCACGGGGAACGTTTTTAACTTCTTGTCCTTGAATGGAGGGATGTCTATGGGGATCAGAAATGGAGTTCTAGTCATCTGATGCTTCCATATTTTCCCTACCACCAGACACTGCCCCCCCCAATCAAGTGGTCTTGCAGAGAGGGGAGGTATGGGTAAGGGTATAAGCTCTTAGGAAATAATACAGACAGGGTGTGGAGTAGGATGGAGAGGGGACTGAGGGTTCAGGAGTCACCAGCTGATTTGGGCGAGTCATCAGCTGCACAGTAGAGGAAGAGCCCAACTGCCCTGATTTCAGCTGGGTTTCTTTCCCTCATCAGCATACCCCAGCTGTTCTCCCCAATTATCAGCTGCTTGAGGCGAAAGGCCAAGATTGTACCCAGAGGCAGATTGATGGTGTTGTTGAAATTGAGGGATCCCTGGGAAAAGAGAAGTGAACACAGGTGATTGTGAGAGAGTGAATCAGGGTTTCCTGTCTGAGGGCAGGAAAATTCTGACAAAGTGAAACTATGAGGGGGTAAATATAGCAGCTGGGAGGCAGTTTTTGCCCCTCACCAATTTGTCCATAAATATCTGGTGACCTTGAATAAGTCTAAACTTTCCTGAGGTATGATTTCCTAAACACCGTGAAAACGGAGTTATAATTTAACCCACTACCGATTTAGCCTACCTCACAGGATGCTGTGAAGTACTGTAACCACTGCTGTGGAGTTAATTCTGACTCCTCCCAATCCTCTGTCATCGAAGGCTGTAAACCTTTACAGGAGCAGGTGCCTCATCTTTCCCCCAGGGGGTTTCAAACCTCTGGGCTTTTGGTTAACAAGCCAATGCTTGACCCACTACACCACCAGTGCACTTATATCATGAGACAATAGATGGGAAAGTCCTTAGAAAAGATGAACGTGCTTTTTAGGGAAACCGGAGGAGAGGCCTAGGTTTGGGCAAAGATGCAGGGGACAGTTGGGCTGTCTGTAAGGTGAAGAGTGAGGCCGGGAAGCCTCTTGGAGATTTCCAACCTTGAGCCCAACGGCGGTGAGGAGGGTAATGGAGACACCTCCTTCAGCCTTGCTGCCCTTCTCCAGTGTGGCTTCCTTCAGAGTTTCCACAGCCTCAGTCACCATGTATAGGTTCTCCCCAAGCTCCCGCAGCTTTTGTAGGAAGGAAAGTTCTGGCTTCCTCAGCTTCCTGTGTTGGGTAGGTGGAACTGGGCTCAGAAGCTCTGGGTGGGTAGGGCCATCTTCCTGTCTGTGTCAGAACCCCCTCACTATTGGGCCCTTCCTCCTCCCTGTACCTCCCTCACCTCTGAGGAACTTAGAGAAACAGAACCCTGGGATTCTAGAACTAGTTCTTCCTTGACTTGCTCTGTGACCATTGACTCTCTTGACTCAGTTTTTTTTTCTTCTTCATTGAATGAGTTGCTTTAAAAAAAATGGGATCCCAGAGGTGTGCGATTCAAATCCACCAGATGCTCTGCTGAAGAAGGAGGAACAATTGCCTCCTGTACCAGTCAGATCCAATTTGACGGTACACACATAAAAAGAATAAATAAATAAAAATTTTAAAAAAAAAGAAAAAAATGGGAGGGAAAGGGGGACAATGTCAGGAAGAAAGAAGGAAATGGAAGAGAGGAATGGAGAGAAGGAGGGATGAGGAAGAAGGAGAAGAAATGAGGGAGGGAAGGAAAATGGAAGTGAGGAGGAAAGCAGAAAGGAATTTCTGGACTCTTTTAAAAGGATGATCTTTGTCAATTCTAAGAGCCTGAGCAATTCTAGGGGTGGTGACATGCCCCTTGTACCTGCCCGTCACCTGAAACCCTCACCCTGCTTTCCACTGTCTCCTGTAACTCACCTTTTCTTTAGGTTTTCCAGATCATTCACAATGCTGAGCTTCTGTATGTCCAAGATGTTTTGACGTTTACCCCCAACTGTGACAGAAAGATTCACTGGGAGCCCTAAGGCTTCTGGCTTCACACTTGCTGTCACTCCTCCATCACTACAGCCTTGGATTGAGATCTTACAGTCTTTTCTGGGCTCTGCAGGACAGAAACACCTTTGTGCTTATCCACACGCACCCCTTGAAGGAAGGCTTCCCTAAAGGACTCTGTATGATAAATTGTCTTTGACCCAAAAGTGAATATTAATTGAGAAGTGATCAGGGCATTAGTGTTAGTGAGGGGACTTACTATTAAAAAAATATTTTAAAAGAGGAAGATCGTAATTATCACACATATAGAAATGGATATTGTGACTGGGAAAAAATGAACTGAATTCCAGGGGCCTCTATTATATGTGTGTGTAGTGGTCATAGAGATATAAAAGGTGACCAGGGGACAAAGATGGGGAAAAATCATGATGTGCTGATTCCAAGTGATGGAGGCTCCAGAGCCGACTTCCGAATCCAGAGGTGGTTGTGCCCAGGAGAGACTGACCTTGCTTTGTATGACCTCCATGGGAGGGCAGATCCAGGGGAACAAGGACAGGGGCTAGGTCAGGTAACTGAGCATTTTTCAACAGTCATCTGCGTTATCTCCTTTTCCTTCATAGGATTAAAACACCTGCTCCATATTGTTAAAATTATCCTGAGAGTGGACATTGTAAGACTAGATCTTTTAGTAGGCAACTCAAAGGCAATATGGTGAACATTTCCCATCTTGCCAGTTCTGACAGGGGCTTTTGAGGTAAGGAGGGCCATTTGTCCCCCCAACCTGCACCACTGAGAACTCTCCAGATGGGTATACTTTGATAATGCCCCTCCCTGCTGTCCAGTATTTCTCATTGCTGCCATTGTGACTGTCTGTTATATGCCTTTTGCTCTTTTCCCTTTCAGACCTACTACTTCTAACTTCTTATATAGGTAGAAGCCATAATTAGAATGATGTATAAAATAAGACTCAATGAGTTCTAAGTGAATGCTCTGTGAGCAGAGTGCATGAACCTGTATGTGTATGTGTAAGCTGTCGAGTCATAACTGACCCACAGCTGACCCTCCGATGGTTTTCTGAGGCTATAAATCACATGGGAGGAGATAGCCTATCTTTCTCTCCCAAAGCAGCTGGTAGAATTGAACTGCCTATAGTTGGGTTGGCAGCGCCAAAGAGAGTTCCCTTAGTTCGTTAACCTTAGCTTGATTTAGATGACCTCCCTGGGCTTTCATGGCTCCTGTGTGTACTTTCGTTCCCCTGGGTTGTCATCACTGTGACATTAGCCCATCAGTTCCTTAAGGATAGACGCTTTGGTGACTGACTCATCCTGATATCTACAGTGCCTGGCATGTAGTGGGAACTCAGTAAATGTTTGTCTTAGAAATGACTTGTGATGACCTCCATTGCCAGCGTGATGGCCCTGGTTGGTTTGTTTTCTGCCTTCCTGGTAATCTTTTTGTCATGGATTGAATTGTGTCTCTCCCTCCCCCAGGAATTTCCTCAGCACAGGTGAAGGCTATGACAAAATGGAGACCTCCAAGGACCATCAAACCCACAGATGTTGAAAAGAGACAAGGACCTTCCTCCAGAACAACAGAGAAAAGAAACATCTTCTTGTACAGCCAGCACCCTGAATTCATATTTCTAGTCTCTTAAAATACAAAAGTGTGCCTAAGTCAGGCCATGGACTTTTCAGTCACTTGCTATGTATCTGCCAGCTGACTAAGGATGATGGAAGAATTGATATGTGTATGACTAAGGATGGCATTGCACTGGGAAAGTCTGCAGTTAGGGACCTCTCCAAATTATTGAGGAGTAATGATGTCAGTGTGAGGACTAAGGTGCATCTGATTCAAGCCATGGTCTTTCTGATCAATTCCTATACATCTGAGAGCTGGACAATGAATAAGGATAACAGAAAAATAATTGATGCTTTTGAGCTGTGGTGTTGGAGAAGAGCACTGAACATCCCATGGATGGCCCAAAGAACAAACAAATATGTCTTGGAGAGGGTACAGCCACAGTGCTCCTTGGAGGTAAGAATGATTAGACTTATACTCACATACTTTGGGCATGTTGCTAGGAGGGGCTATTCCTTGGAGAGGGACATGGTGCTTGGAAGGGTGGAGGGTCAGGGAAGGAGAGGAAGACCCTTGACCAGGTGGATTGACACATTGACTGTGACGGTGGCCTGTAGCATGTCAGGAAGTGTGAGGATGGCACAGGATAGGATAGGGTTCAGCTCTATTGTTCATAGGATCACTATGAGTTGTACTTGACTCAATGGCACTTAACAAAAAATGGCAAGAATGACAAAATAATTGATTTGTCATTGAATTGTGCTGTTGAAGAGTGCTGAATATCCTGTGGACTGCCAAAAGAACAAACAGATATGCCTTGGAGAAGGTGCTTCCAGAGTGCTCCTTGGAGGCAAAGGTGGTAAAGCTTCATCTCACATACTTTGAACACGTTGCTAGGAGAGGTTATACTTTCGGAGAGGACATCATGCCTGGGAAGATGGAGGGATAGCAAAGGAGAGGAAGACCCTCAACCAGGTGGATTGACACCGTTACTGCAATAGGCTTACGGGTGTTGGAGATTATGAAGATGGCACAGGATAGGACAGAGTTCAGATTAGTTGTTTATAGGGTCTCTATAAGTTATACTCGGCTTGACGGCACCTAACAGTGACAAACAGAGAATAAATCTCTGTTAAAGCCATCTGCGTGTGGCATGCATCCTGTAGCTGCACTAAAGAACGAAGACATTTCCTCACAGGTAGATGAAACGACTGTCGGCTAAGTTCTAGAGAAGTGAGGGGAAATGGTTTCTCATTTGAATTCTTAGTTCTAATGAGGGAGACACAGTCCCTGTTTTGGGGATCAGCTGACTGAACTGCATGTGACTGATATTGACACCCCTCCACTCTTTGGGGAGAGTTCAGTATTGTGGCAAAGTCAAGGCAAGAAAGAGTGAGAACTGTACCCCATCCACTGCCCCCCTCAGCTCCAGTGTATTCCATTGCTCTCCATTAACCTCTTTTAGTTGATAACGAGGCTCTGTAGGTCCTTAAGTCTCTATATTTAGGGGATTCTTGGAGTCATCAGGCTAGGAGCTCGTTAAAGAGGAAGGATCTTATGTGACTGGCTCATTGATCTGGGATTTTCCTGAGAATTAAGTTTGAGCCACTGCCCCCCCCCCACCCCAGGCTTCTTCAGGGATGTGTTTGTTTTCTTTGCTGCCCTGGTTTCTGCTCCACGGGACAGCATGAAGCTGATGGTGGAAGGACTCTCCTCCCACTCCCATCCACAGTCTCTTGGCTGCAAGATGCTGCGTATGGGTGACAAGCTGGAACTTGCCCCCAGTTCTGGGTTCTCGGAATGTGTGCCCACCTCTTCCCTCAGTACTGGACCAGACATCTGGTCTGGCTCTCTTGGTACCTGGCAGCTTTGTTCCTGGCTCCAGCATATCTCGAAGGGAGAAGTGGGTCTTGACATACTGTGTTCCCCAGAAGAGCGTCCCCTTTCTCTTCTTTCGTACCAGGCAGAAGGGCTGGAAGCAGGCAGCATCGATGATGCAGTTCAGCGGGATGAGGTCCCCCACAGGATCCAGCTGCCTCACTAGAGCCCGGGTGGCGTCCTGGAACAAGGATGCCATGATTCCTGGTCCCTGACGGAGCTGAGGACAGAGTTGAAGCTAGTTATGCTGCCCAATGCCTGCTGGCCCATGAATTAGAGCAAGCGAGGGGCCAGGGTGCTGGGGTTTTGCTCAAGTGCAGTGACTCGTCTGTGTGGCAAAGGGACACAGTTCCATCTAGTTCTCTCAAAGTGGAGCTGTAGCCACAGCTTCTGGCACCTCTTGCTGTCTCTTCTGACACAGAGACCAGAGTGAAGCGTTCTGTTCCTCAGCTGGGGGTCAAGAAAGCATCTCCCCCACAACCTCCCCTAAGCTCCCATCTGGTTCTCATTCTTCTCCTTCCTTCAATCCTCCTGTCCTAACTCTAGATGGGGAGAGGACCCTGAACCTGGAAGATCACCAGAATGACTGGTGGGATGCTTACTATCCAGTGTCCAAACCCCCTGGCTCCAGATCCCTGTCCAATTTGAACTACAGCCAGAGCTGACCCGTGATGGGCATTGACCCCTGCCCTCACCCCCAAGCTCACCTCTGAGAACTGGAGCTGGGTATTGGAGTAGGGAAAGTGGCTCTTTGCAGACTTACAGACGTGACCGACCTCTGATGACAGGGAGTAGAATGAGAATCCAGGAATGGGCCCCAGTGATAGAGACAGAGTACCCCACCCTCTCAGCCCTACAGGTCTAAACAGTCTACTTCCCAGAAACCAATGAGGCATGTCCCATCCTGATTCCTGTCGAGGGTGGGCAAGCAGAGTGTCATGGGAGGAACCGATGACAGCTTTGATAGGGAGAGAGCCAGGATTCCAAGGCTCAGGCCAAAGGTGTGGCTGCAACCTGAAACTTCCCACACGCTAGTTCTTTCTTCCATCTCTGAGCATCCTTGGAGATGGGTGGTCATATCTCTTGAGTAAAGAGGGTTGGGTCCCAGCTGTTTCTGAAATGGGTCAAAATGCAACTTCCTAGATGATAGTTGGTTTTGTGTACGATTGAGTTGGAACCAACCCTCAGCTGACCCCCCAGTGGCTTTTCAGAGACAGTTAATCACATGGGAAGAAACTGTCCATCTTTCTCCCACAGAGCAGCTAGTGGATTCAAACCACATGCCGTTGGGGTTGCAGTGCAGCTTCTTATCACTACACCACCAGATCTCAGATGATAAAAGGGAGCTCAAAGTTGGAGTGAAGGAGGGGAGTTTCAGGCGTCAGTGAGGGGACCAGTGGAAATGTGGAGATCCTGTGGGAAGTGTGGGAAGAGGACTAGAAGGCAGGAAGTGGCAGAAAGATCAGGGAAGGTCTCTAGCCATTCTTTGAGCTCTACCCACGGATTTCTGCCCCAGATTGGGTGGAACCCTAGTTCAGTGGTTCTTATCTTCAGTTTCTGTTGGGACTCCCAGGGGCTTCCCCAAAGTAACTTTCTTCCATGGATCCCCCATGAGCAGACCATCCTGTGTACAGGCAGGGAGTAAGGTGTGTTTATACCTTTGGGTCCCTTGATAAACCTATTTAGAATAGAGATATCTCACATATCTTACATCCTCCTTCAGTTAACTTAGTCTCTGCCCACCTCCTCACCCCCACCAGGAATTCTTTTATTAACTTTGAGCACATCTGGTTTCTTCCTACACACTGTTCAGACTACCACTGAGAGAAAAGAAAGATTGCAAGAAGGCAGGGACTGCATTCCCCCTGGGCCTCCTAGGCCCTGTCTCCTGCATCCCCAGGTCCTGGGGAGGTTGCCTGGGCCAGAAGGCTGGAGACCAAAGACTTGATGGATGATGCAGGGACTCTGCCCGCCCTCCCTTCTTTCTATCTTCCCACCAGAAACCCCTTCCACTTCCCACCCTTCTCTTCCCGTCGTCGAATCATAATTAGTTCACAGACCTGGCTGCCTTAGCATTTGGACTCCGGTGTTGGAGTCAGGGGCATCAAGAGCATCCCCACCATGGCTGATGGAGGAGGTGGTTGCAGAGAGCTCAACACCCTTCTCGCTGCCAGTTTATACAAGTTCAAGAAAATGAGCAAGAGATCAGAGGAATGAAAGTGACTTACTTTATTGAGTTGTTCAGTGGTTTCTGGGGCAGACACCTCCTAGGCTCCTTCCCAGTCATCGAGACTGCTTTTCCCCAAAGGACGAGGGTTCAGGAAGTCTTTAAGTGCAGATAAAGGAGAGATGGGGAGCCTCCAGGAAAGGAAGCGGGTGACCTGAGCCTGGGGGCCCTAGTAGAGGACACCAAGAGAGGAGCCTGGGGGGGCAAAGGGTGGTGTTGGGGTTCACAGTGGAGGAAGTGAGATGGAGAAGGGAGAGAGGAGGCACCCACAAAATATGATCTCAATTTTCTGGTGCTTGGCCGCACCAAGCACTTCTTGGCCCCACCATCCTCTCACACTGTCGGCTCCTCTGTTCCTGCCTGGAAGCAGGTCCTGCTTGCCAAATGGCTGTCCATCTTCCTGGCCTTTACACATGACCGTGGAGCAGCCCTCCTCGTTTCCCACCCCAAATCCTCTACATCCTTTAGGAGTCAGTTGGTACATGAAGCATTCAAGCCAAGCTGAGGCTCCCTCCTCAGTGCCCGCACAGCTCCCTGCTCCCTTCTCCTGGGTGGTGAACACGCCACCAGCTGTCATCCTCTGTCCTGTCATCTTCCCAGGACTATGGTTCTCTGAGTCTGGCACAGTCCAGGGACAGGTGGAGCTGGTTGAGTGAGATCAGTTGTTTAGGGGAGACAGAGAAGGAGGGGTGGCATGGAATTTGGGTGGTCAGGTAAGAAGACATAGGTGGCAGAAGGGGTCCGAGGGAAGGAGGGGGCAGAGAGAGAAGTGTGGGGTCGTCAGACAATGGTGCTGAGGGTGGAGGAGCCCTCAGAGCGCACGGGCAGCGCTGGGGCCCGTTTCAGGGGGCGCCTGGGCTCCTCTCGGTTCTGCCACACATAGTGAGAGAGATAGGCCACCACGAGCGCCAGCCAGCCCCCCATGGTGACCAGCAGGGCCACATCAGTACTCCGCTGGGCCCCACCCCGGCCTGTCCCGCACAGCTCTTCCTCCCCTGCCAGCGACAGGAACTCCTGCCCCACGAGATCGGGTCGGGCCCCGGGGCCACAGACAATGCCAGTCCCAGTGCCCGGCACCAGTCTCACCCGCCTGAGCACCTCCTGGAGGGCGCAGTCACAGCGCCATGGGTTGGCGGACAGGTTCACTTGGATCTGCAGCCCCATGAAGGCCTCCACGGGCACCGAGGCCAGCTGGTTGGCAGAGAGGTCGAGGTGACGCAGAGTGCCTGCCAGGCCCTGGAAAGCGGCCCCCGAGAGGTGGACAAGGGCATTGTGAGACAGATCCAGCTCCTCCAGGACAGGCAAATGCTGGAAGGCACCCGCTGGTACCGATGCCAGCCGGTTGGCATCCAGGTAGAGTTTGCGGGTGTCGTTGGGGATGCCGGTGGGCACAGCACTCAGTCCTGCCTGGCTGCAGCGGAATGTCCGCTCACCAGCTTCCTCTGCCACGTAGCAGCCCTGGGGAGGTGTCTGGGGGCTGGGCAGTGCACCCTCCATGGTTGTAACCAACAGGAGGGACACAAGGCGACTGGCTGGTGGGAGCATAGCCACAGCTTGGCATAGTCCTGGGTGGTGGAGCAGGATCTGGGAAAGAGAAGGTCCCATAAGGAAAGCGGGAGTGAAAGAATCTCCTCCCTCACTTTGGGTCTCCTCCCCAGGGCCCTCTTGGGAGTCTCTGAGTCTCCTTCTTTGAGAATTCTCCCAGCCCACGGTGACTTTTTGGTTCCCTTCTTGACCAATGATTCCTCAGCAGGGATCCCCTGAGCTTGACATTGGGGTTCTTTGGGTTAACCTATGAAATCTCTTATTCGGTTGGATATTCAGTCTTGGAGACTTCCACCACCTATTGATGCCACTTGCTGCAATGGAATCCTCTCCCCACGGCCCAGCTGGGTGATTGCCAAGTGGACCCAGGTTGGCACGCAATTGAAGCAGACAAAAGGACAGCGAGAGGACTTGGGCATCCGATTAGGCCAGCTGACTAGACAAGGTGTCCCTTAGGCCTCACCTGTGATTGCCAAGCATTTTCCTGGAGCACCCACCCTTCTGCCTGCCCCAGGATTATCCTCCCTGCTTGCTCCTCCTCCCGGTCCTCTCCCTCCTCCTGCCAGCCTCTCACCCCTGTTGGTGGGAGAACCTTCTCCTGTGCTGCCCTCTCCCCGGAAGTAGCCTCCTTGAAGCTCAGCTCCGGAGACCCGCTTCCTCCTCCAGAAGCCCTGCTTGCTTGAGGCTGCTGGCAATTGGGGGCTGGGGCCTGAGAGTGTTGGGTTTCCTGGTATGTGACTCTGGGCCCCAGGTGTCAGATACCTGAGCCATGGCTTGACCAGGTGATGCCAGGAGAGGGCAGATCCCAGACCCTGATGAACTGTCTGCCATGGAGAGACCAGACTCAATTAATGCCCTTTCAAGACCCTGACATGGCATCTTTCAGCATCCTTTCCCCCAGCTGAGTCTAAGACTCTGGTGCCACCAAACCTTTTTCCTTTGCCCAGAGCACGGCTGAGCAGAAAGGTCCCTGCTTGGCAGGCCTTGGGAGAAACTGGGGTGGATTCGTCTTGCATCCACTGCCTCCGGTCACTTACCTCCCTCATCCGCCTGCCTCCCACTCACCTTCTCTTCCCTTTCACTGCGCCCTGTAGCACCTTTTTCAATGGTGAACAAACTACCTTCAGCCTTTTCCTCAGAAAATGTGTTTCTGAAGGAGGCCATCTCCTTTCTCCACAGGATACCCAGCCCTCTTGTCTGCCAGGGGGCACTGTGGGTCAATTTTTGTTGTCAGCAGCATTGGTGGATCACCCCCTCAAGCAGTGGCAAGCATTCTTCATGGTGCCTGAAATGAATTTCCCCATCACTTTTATATTCTGGTTTGGAACTGGTTCCAGCTTGCTAAGTTTTCTGTGCTCCCAAGTAAGCACTTGAAATTCTCCCACACGCCCAGGAGCTGTGGAGTTCTTGGGCCACTTCTTATTCATCAGGCCCTTCAGATCCTACCATGCCACCCTCTTACTCAGCCCTCCTTGAATGCTTGCTGGATAGTGGGAAGGAAGAGTTTGAAGCCAGGAGGTGAACTTGGTGTGACTTTGGGCACCTCAGGGAAGTCTTCTGAACCCTCACGTCTGTGTCTGCAAGTGAGAATGCTGATTGGGTTGGGAGTGTTGAGTGGTTGTGAAAGTGCTTTGTAAAGTGTTGTGCAAAGGCTATTTATTATGATTACTGTTTTGCAGACATGCAAGACCAGCCTTTTCTCCAGGATTTCAATGCCTGGGTCAGGTTTTATTTATTAACATTTTGTTCTTTTAAGTGAAAGTTCATAGAACAAATGAGTTTTTTATTCAACAGCTTGTATACAGATTATCCCATGGCACTGGTGGTGGTTCCAGCAATGTGCCAGCATTCTCTTCATTTTTACCCTGACTTCCCCATTTCTATCCCTCCAGCTTCCCCATCCCTCCTTGCCTTCTCACCTGTGGTTTTGGGTAAATATTGCTTATTTGGTCTTATATAGTCAGTTGCTCTAAGGAGTACATTTCTTTTATTTCTTTTTTTTTAGGAGTACATTTCTTACGAGTGTTATTGCTTATTTTATAGACTAATCTACTGTGTGAAGCTAGGCTGCTCCTTGGAGGCAAGGGTTCTGAAGCTTTGTCTGACATACGTTGGACATGTTGCAAGGAGGGACCTGTTCTTGGAGAGGGACATCATGCTTTGGAGGGTGGAGGGACAGCGCAAGAGAGGAAGACCCTCTATGAGGTAGGTTGATTCAGTGACTGGGGTAATGGGGGAGATGTGTCAGAGACAATAAGATTGGCACAGGATAGAGCAGGGTTTAGGGCTGTTGTACCTAGGGTTGCTGTGAGTCCCAGACGACTCAATGGCACATAACAAAAACAATAATCTATTATTTGGCTTAAAGGTGTCATTTAGGAGTCACTTCTTTTCCAGGTTAAAAGAAAGCTTTTAGTTTTAATTTTATTTTTTTAATTATTTTGTGTGTATATACCATCAAAGTGGATCTGCCTGGTACAGGAGGAGATTGCTCCTCCTTCTCCAGCACAGCATCTGGTGGATTCGAATCGTGTACCTCTGAAAAGAAAGCTTTATTTTATTTTATTTTATTATTTTTGTGTGTGAGTGTACCGTCAAATCAGATCTGACTAGTACAGGAGGAGATTGTCCCTCCTTCCCCGGCAGAGCATCTGGTGGATTCAAACCGTGAGCCTCTGGGATTGTAGTTGCAGCTCCTTGCCACTAGGCCACCAGAGCTCCCCTAAAAGCTTTTAGGATGATAGTCTCAGGGGTTCAGTCTCCAATAGTCCAATCATACAAATTTTTGGGGTTTTAAAATGAATTTGAGTATTGTTTTATATTCCCCCCTCCCCATTATAACTGGGACATTCTATCACCTTCTTGGTCAGAACACTCAGCTGGGCACTAGCTGGGCACCATCTAGTTCCTTTGGTCTTCAGACTAGAGGTTCATGTGGACAAATTGCTTCATTGAGCCTTTGGTTTCCTTCATCCTTCTTTACTCCAGACAAGAAGAGACCAATAGCTACATCTTAGCTCACTGCTCACAAGCTTTTAAGACTTTGGACACCACTTATCAAATGAGGGGATGTAGAACATTATCTTTATGAACTATGTTAGGCCATTTGTCCTAGGTGTCTCTCAAGACAGGTCAGGCTTTTCTCTCTACCATATTTCCTGTGTTCTTCAGGAGCAGGAGGGACAATTGATCCCTGATGCTAAAGTGTGAATGATCCATTATCTACCCAAATCCTCTCAACTCTCTTGACTTTCAGTCCTAGTCACCAACTGACTTGACCACCGTGTGACTCAGCTTCCTGTGACACCTCACATCCTCTCTGTGTTAACCCCTACTTTGATGCTAGAACTTAGATCCATAAAGGATAACAGAACTGGAATGCAATATTGAGGCTATCTAGTCCACCTCTCTTAGACTGCACGTAGGTAAACTGAGTCCTTGACAAGAGAGGTGACTAGAGTTGCACAGTGGGTCAAAGGCTCGGCTGAGACCAAAGCCTGCTCCTTTACTTCTTCCCTAAGCTTTTCCTATCACCCATTGGCCTGACCCCTTCTTTTATGCTACCCTTGCCAATAAATGTACCTTTGCCTATACCCTGTACCTTGCCAATACCCTTGCCTTTGACCCTTTATGATATCATCAAACCTTGCATCATTTTCACCAGGTCAAAGAATGAGAGAATGGATGTGATGAAGACAAGGGAGAACTTTCACAAGGGACACTTAAGTCATATAGAGGTATTTCTGAGGAAAAAACCCACTCCAACATTCCTCAGTTTTGTAAGAGATTATGGGTGGCCAGGAAAGGATGCGTAATTTGTGAGGCCCATGTGTTGCAATCCCATGGACACATGGAGAAGGATAGGTGATGTCCTTCTATGCCATTTACTGTCTCTGAAAACCTGCTTGGAGCTATAGGTCTGACTTGACGGCATGTAACAACAACAGTGAAAGATGAAAATTTCAGATCCTTTATTACAAAACTACTAAAAATATCAAGATTGTGAGAACAGAGCATGAAACTAATTGAAGAGCTCCTATCAATAACATCTACAGCATAAAACCCATTCCTAAGAAAAATTATGAAATGATATACTATGATTTTGAGACAATTTATCTATAAAAATAGGCTAAAACTAATCAAATATCTAACATAATAATAATAAGTGCTTTTAAATGAAGAAAGCATATTAAAATATTTTATACTACACTTCCTTTTAAAATTCTCCTTGCCTGTGTGACTCTATAAAAGGAAAGCTTATGAATAAAAACATACTTTAAAGATGAAATTTCCATTTAGTCCATTTCAAGTAATTTTTATTAGTTTATAACTTCTGTGCTCAAGATAGAGTTTGTAAAAGAATTCTTTAATTGTCTATATTTTCATGTCACTTTGTTAATAATACTGAGAAGAAAATGTATTTTGGTGACTCTTCTCCTTCCAGGGTTTTTTGTTTGTTTGTTTTATTTAAATTTATTATTAATTTCAGTAAAAATTACAGAGACTTTGGATTTCCATTCATTCATTGTTGCACTTTTCTCCCCTCCCAACCCTTCCTCCTAGTACACTACCCTCTTGGAAAAGTAAAAGACAAATTCTTTCATTGTTTTACAAACCCTCCCCCAGGTCCACTCCACCATGTAGCCTTCGCTCTAGACTCCTGTCATGACAAAAATACCTAATCACATATCCCTTTTAAACAGTTTTCTTCCTCATCTGTTTCAATGCAGTATACACTATTGAACCCATCTTTCTCAGTCTCTACCCAACCCCAAGGTCAGTCCTGTTTTACAGCAGTGGCACCATGCAGTATTTGTCCTTTTGTGACTGATATACTTCACTCAGCATAATGTCCTCCAGAGTCACCCATTTTGAATAATATTTCATGAGTTCCTTGTTTTTCAATGCAGCATAGTATTCCATTGTGTGGATATACCACAGCTTCTCTATCCACTCGTTTGTTGATGGGCACTTAGGTTGTTTCCAACTCCTTGTTATTGTGAACAAAGCCACGATTAACATGGGTGTGCATCTCCTTCCAGTTTTGAATACATAGTGTGAACATAGTGTTTACAACACATATTTTTTTAAAAAAATTATTTTATATTG